GAAGGTTTTTGAAAATGTATAAAATGTATGTGAGATACATTTTGATCCAATGGCTGAGATTAATTCCAAGTTTATATCAATGGTTGAGATCAGTTTTTTTCTCGCTCAAACACTCTCTCCTCTCTCTCTCTCTCTCCCACGTCTGCCAAACACGTCTCTATAACTCCCTCTGTCTTTCTCTCTCGCAACTGTCCATCTTATCTCTCTCTCACTCTTTGTTCTTCTGCTTTAACAGACCCTCTTTCTCCTCAACGATAGGCAAAAGAGAGAGAGCAGCAGCAACAGAGTCCCAGCAAGCAAGAAAGTTGAATCGGAAGCTAATTCGACGGTGAGAAAAGTTTGGTCCCAATCCCAGACGAGAAGCTCTCTCTCTCCAAAACCCTCGCCATACCCGAAAGTAAAACCTCTCTCTCTCTCTATTTTGTGGATTGGATTATCATATTATATAACTCTCTCTACAACCGATTAAGTTTTTTGGGTTTGTAACAGAAGATTCAGATCTTGCTGCTGAAAAGAAATCAGGTGACCCAACTGGCAAAGGTAATCTCTCTCCCACTTAAATTCGATCACTTTCTCCCTCTACTTCTCTGTCTCTCTCTGTTTCTGCATTTCGAAACCCTAGATCTGGATTTCTAGCGATGAACAATGAATGTAAAAAATTGATGTTGAGTGCATTATTTAGAACTAATTAATGAATTTAACTATGTATGTTTCAATGACGGTTGTGAATTATTTTGTAAAACCATGAAAGTAATTGACTCATTGATAAATTTAATTAGTTTTTTTTTGTTGCAATGACCTTAATAATTCTTAAATTAAAAAAATAATTTTGTTCATTTAACAGGAAAAAATGTGCACGCATTGCATGTGACACAAAAGTGTCAAACATCAACTCAGGTCTTTGCATATTATAGCAGATAGATAGATAGATGCTACAATCTGGATTGCTGTATTTGGAGATTGCAAATTTGAATGAAGGACACAAAGCCAAAGCCAAAGCCAAAGCCAAACTTATGGTTTGAAGATTTTTTTTGGATTTGGATAATTTCATGATCTGATTACAATTTTGGACAATTTTTTTTCTCTGGATATTATTTTTATTACTGCGTTTGTTGGTTTGCTTTACTTAACGTGTAAGGTGACATATCCAAGGAAGTAAATTAGTTGATCTGCTGTACAACTTTTAAAAGCTTACAAATCCAGGGTGATGAAATAAATGAATGGCCTTTGTTAAATAAGAACTTGCGGATGCATGTGCAATTCAAGTAAAAATAAAAGTAAATATTTACTATATATTGTGTACCACTCAAGTGGTAAAGAGTGTTCTTCATTAGAACCAAGGCCCAAGGTTCGAGTCCCACTCCTGCCATCTATCTAATGTTTTTGTTTTAAATAGAAAAATTGACACTTGGGAGCATAAGGAGAGAAGGCTTCATGATGCTACCAAAGGTGTTCACTTTATAATAGTATAGAGGATAGAAGATAGAAACCTTATCAGGAAGAAGAGAGATAGGCATCAATCCTGTCTCATTTTCTTTTTCATGAACCAAATGGTATACAAAAACCGTAGAAAAGATAAAGCTAAATATGTAGAAAGGATAAAGCTAAAACTACTATGGGCTTTAAAAGTGCCACATTTGAATTACTAAAAGTGAGATCTTCTTTTCTCTTTGCCAATAAATAGATTTGATTGCACTTTATGTGGAAGAATAAATGCAGAAGGAACACAAGCTGGCAGTCTTGGAAACTATGAAGCACGGATACGGATACAATACGAATACGACGATGTGCCAAAATCTGAAAAAGTAGGATACGAGTACGATAGGAATACATTTATAAAAAAATTATTTTTATAATTTTATTAATGTAATATGCATGAAAATAAAACCTAAAAAAAAATAAAAATGAAAAACCAGTATATAAGATATATATATATATATATATGTATATAACAAAGTATTAATATAAAAGGGAAAAAAATAAAAAAAAAATAAAATAAAAAGAAAGAAAAAAGAAATACAGCAGTATATATAAGAGATAAAGGAGAAAAAAAAGAAATCAGAAATGTGAGAGACCCAGAGAGAGAGAGAGAGAGAATCATGTTTGGCGAAGAGAGAAGAGTTAGATAGACAGTATTTCGCTGTGGTCAATCGAGATGGAGATGAGATCGACCGACTAAAATTCTTCCTTCCTTGTTAGGTGTGCTTCCTTCTTTACTAGATTTACTTCTTTTCTTTGATCACCGAGAGGGAAGAAGGTTAGGCTAAGATTTTTTTTACCTATTTTCTAGTTTACGATTTGTATATGGATTGAGGGATTTGATCGATTTGTGTTTTTTCAGTTTAAGTTTGCATTATTTACATTTTTGACTTACAAAAAAATTCTAAAAATTATGTTTTTGTCTTGCCGTATCCCAAAAGTATTCGGAACGTATCTCCAATGTATCCTTGCGTATCCAAAACACATCCGAAATTCAAAATTCAAAATTAAAAAAAAAAAAAAACCGGATACTTTTTGCCGTGTCTGATATGTATCTTGGCATATTAGATGCGTATCCGTATCCAATACTTGTACGCTGCCCATTTTGGAGTATCCGTGCTTCATAGCTTAGAAAAGAGACCGTATTTCAATCTCTTGAGATAGGTACTAGATTGAACCATGGTTATTAGAATCCCGATCTGGATTGTAGGATCTTAAGATCAAGATCCTACGACTTTAGTTGGGCCAAACGATTTGGATCGCACTAAGATCTTAAATTTAGTAGGATCTTCAAGAGACTACAATTCTAGTCATAAAACCGTGTAGAATCACACTACGATCCCGATCCTATCAAAATTTTTTTTTATTATTATTTATTTCTTACATATGTATGTATATGTGTATATCTATATAAAAAATTTGACTATAAATTCTTTCTACAAATATTTCTTCTAATTTATGATAACATAAAAGATGCATTATATCAAATTAATCATTTTTTAAAATTGTTTTACAATTATTTAACATACTTTATCATTATAGATAATTTATCATTTTATTTTACATTAAAAGTAGAATCTTACGATCCTTGATCCGATTCTACGATTCGATCCATAAGTCCTCCCAACGATCCTACTTAGGATCCCGATTTTAACAACCTTGGATTGATCCCTTTCATCCAAGGAATTTAAATTGTCATACATTTCTTCAAAGTTCAAATTGTCTACCATTTCTTCAATTTAGGTAAATCACTCATATGGAAGATGCTCACTGTCCCCCGCTATTGGGAAAGAAAAACTAACAACATCATGCTGGCAGCATTTACCATTTCAATTTTGAACATGTTTCCATTGTATTCTAAAGTTGGTGAATATTCAATAGTTTTTCTCCATTGGGCTTCATTTGATTAATATATCATCACACTTGTGTATACTTGTATGCCTTTTGCGCTTCTTTTGTTTTAATAGTGAATGGTTAAACCTGAATAATCAAGACATAAATGTAAATTTCATGTAGAAACTATACTTGTGTTGCATTTTCACTTATCCTTATAGTAAAATAAAAATGTTGCATCAGGCATAGTATTTCACAATTTCTTGATCATTCCTTTTTTTAATTAGTGACTGGATTTGATGAAGTGTTTTTCTTAAGAAAGTGCTTGTACTTGTACTTCTGTTGCTAGAGTCTAGGAATGTGCCAATTTGGAATGCACCTGTAAAGAGTCACTTACTTCACAGAGTTCATATTTTAAAGAAGGGAAAACTTCCACATCCATTGTTGCTTCTGAGCTTTTGAAGTTGAAGTCATAGGGTGGTTCCTTTATAGGAAACTCCGAAAGAAAATCTTCACAGTTTGATGTCAGAAGGTACAATGGCAATTGTGAAACCAGAGGTATGTTAGATAATTGTTTTGGGAATCTTATTTTTTGTTATCAATTTTTTACAAATGCAGATTGAGAAGATAATTTTCTCTGACTATAGTTGGTTATTGGGGATTTTCCTATTCGCTCTTTTGGATAATGTGATGGTAGAATTTGGTTGATATTGGAAACTATTTTAAGCATCAGCTTGTGCTGATATGTAATGCTTGTTCCCATAAGGTTTTATTATATCATCACATAGGGTGTTTCTTTTTTAGTGTTTAGTTTTTCGAAATGATATCTATCATACTTTTTTCTTAAACCCCACCATGAGGGGCATAGGCTGTGCCCAAATTGGGTTGATGTTGTAACCTGTAGACATGAGGTTCAAGATATATGATGATGGCTCACAATTAAATTATTAGTTTATTTTTTCCCCCATTGATGTAGTTTTAATCCATTTTGTTATGATCACTATTTAATTTACCTTTGCTCTATGTTTCAAGATGAAGTCTTACATCTGGGTCCAAACTGCTGATGGTTCAATCCAACAAGTGGAGGAAGAGGTTGCCATGTTTTGCCCCATGATATGTCGAGAAGTACTTCAAACAGGCATGGGATCTTCCAAAAACTATGCTATATCTCTTCCTCAACGAGTCAATCCTGCCGTCTTGGGCTTAATACTTGATTACTGTCGGTTTCATCAACTACCTGGCCGCTCTAATAAGGTTTGTTATGTTTTGGATGTTTCATATTGGATTAAGTTCCTCTTGGGTAAAAATGCTGACTGCTACGTTAAAATTTCAAGGAGTTAGAAATATTTGTTACAAAGGTCCTTTTCCTACCTTCAATCTCTCTCTGGGGAGGAGTCAATAAGATGGCATAGGTTATGACGATGTTCAGTATGAAATGTTTTGACTCGTTTTTTGTTTTTTCTGCATCTAGGAGCGGAAAACTTTTGATGAAAAGTTCGTTCGTTTAGATACAAAAAAGCTATGTGAGCTGACATCTGCTGCTGACAGCCTCCAGTTGAGGCCTTTGGTTGACCTTACAAGCCGTGCACTTGCTCGAATGATTGAAGGGAAAACTCCTGAGGAAATACGTGAAACATTTAATTTACCTGATGATCTTACGGAGGTGATTGTTGCTGGAATGAAATCTTCTCCCTCTCACCCCAAAATCCTTTTTTTTGGGTGTCCATTTTTGTGTAGTTTTGTTTGTTTTCACTATTTCTCACTTAGATCTGGTGTTGTAGGAGGAGAAGTTGGAGCCCTTGAGAAACATAACTGATGATCCACGCATCAGGCTTTTGAATCGGTTATACGCTAGAAAGAGGAAAGAATTGAAAGAGAGGGAGCGATTAAAGGTGGTTACATGTACTTCTCTTGTGTGGAATCGTATCTTTGCCTTATTGTCAGTTAATGCCAAATGTTGTTTTCTAGTACATATAAATTTGAATTGCTCATGGGTTGATTAAAAACAATGGCATGGTATTAAAATTGTAATACCTATATATAAATGTTTGCACTTATTGCAAATGCGTTTTCCTTGTGTTTCAGAATGTTGAAGTTGAGGAAGAGTGTGTTGATGAACGCTCAGTCGATGAACTCTTATCATTTATAAATGGTGGAAATGGAGGTGTGTGGACAATGTTTCTATTCCATTTTTTTGGGTGATTTTTAGCTCCATCTTCTTCTATATGTAGAACTAGAATGATGGCACCCATGATGTGAATGCACACATTTATGAGTTTGATTGGTATTGGGAATAACTGGCAAAGGATAACTGTCAAGAATAATTTGAAATCAAGAGTTTTGAGTTAAGGAAAAGAAATTGCCATTCTAGATGTGGGGGTTTCTTATCAGTTGTGCATCATGCACTTTGGATTATTATAATGTTGTAGATGTTTATGCATGATGGTTGGAGTTGGCAGGTCACTGAACTGCTTTTAGGGGGGGGTTTCCAGCAAAGTAGTTGAGAAGGCTGCTATTGTTATCACTTCAAAACGATTTATGTTGTTTTTGAACTGTGTTGCATGGATCATTGCCTACTGGTTGTGTCTTTGAATTTGGGTTTCTGATTGATGGTTCAGTAAGCATGACGTGATACAAGTGCATTATAGAGGTTTTCATTGTGATTCATCATAAATTATTTCCCTTTGCTTGTGTATTTCATCTTCTTGTTGAAACATATGGAGCGTCTAAGATTTTTTTGACTTCAGAAAACAAACTTCGAATGTTGGGTTACTGTTCTTTTTAAATTTATTGGAGTTCCGCTTTACAGATTCGAAAAGGGCTACTAAGAATAAAAAAAAAAACCGGAGGAGAAAAGATCAACCAAGGGATTCTTCTTCAAACAATGAGAATGGAAGCCATGATAAGGTTGGCACCACTTTTTGCTCTCATTTTGCCTATGCATGTCTGCCTTTTTTTTATTATAATATTATTGATTGGTTCTCTCCATTTCAGGGAAGACAGTACTTTGTTCATTGTTGGTTTGCTGGTGTCTTTTTATGTTTTAGAAATTTAATGGTATATCTTGTGTTTGCCAGAATGATATGGTTGACATTGTGGCTACCCCAAATATAACCTCAAAATTGCAGGATTCTACATCTGTTGCCTTTTCACCGAAGCTTGAGTTTGATGATAGTGTTTTTGAGGATGAATTAGATCCCGCCATGAAGGAAGAACTTGACAGGTTAGATGATTTATCAATATTATTGTTGAAAATCTATTAGGGGAGAAAGGTTTTTTTGCTTTCTTTTTCTCTTTTCTTTCCTTTACACCCTCCCACACACACACACACGCACACACCCCCCCTCCCAAAAAAAAAAAAAAAAAAAAAAAAAAAGAAAAGAAAGAAAGAAAGCAAAATAGCCAGACTAATCTCTTTTCTGCTTAATTTTATCATTATTCTTTTAAATGGTAAATTGCATTTTGCACCTCTAATGTATTGTACTCAATTCTTACTTTGACCATTAAGCTTTAGATTTGTCCAACTTGGTCCTTGATCTATTGAATTTTGTGGTCTGGTTGGTAGTTGTTTCAAATTCTCTTAACGGAAAACACCACGTGGCAAAAGTGGGAAATGTTTCAGAGCCATGTGGAGTTTTTTGTCAGAAATCTGGACTGCACTGCAGTTACTAACTCGATCACAATGACAAAAATCCTATAGTTGAGGATCCAAAATAATAAAATCTCAAGTTTGAAGACCAAAGTGAGAAAGTGCAAGGTGTAATTTGCCCTTTGAAGTTATATGTATCTGCCTCCTTATATGGAAATTTTATCTTATTTATCAAAATAAAAATGGAAATTTTATCTTGAATTGCACATCCCTTTATATATCTCTTTGTAAACTGTAGGGAAGTGGAGGATTTTGCCAGGAGATTGAACTCTGTTTGGCCAGAAAGAATGCAGGAGATTCTGTCATTGGGCCAAGATAGAAGACTTGTACCAATCTCTGCGAATGGCAATGGTTCTTTGAAGAGATATACTGGTATGCTCTTAATCCTTCACTATGGTGGATTTCTTGTAATTATTCTTTATATTAGGAAAAAAAATTTAAATCAAGCATGCGCCGTAAACTTTGTATTTAGTTAATTGCCATACTGAGCAAGAAAAGAAGAAAAAAATGGTTTTGCCCTAAACAAATGTTGTTGGTGCTAGAGTTTTTCATCTCACTTCGACGTCAGCTATGTTTCTCTTTCTTGATTTATGAAAGGGAAAGATAACCTTTTGATAATTTTATAAGAAATCCATTTTTGACTTCTAGGCTGATTGTGGGACTGCAATAATTACATATTTTGCATTTTGTGCCACTGGAGGTGCTAGCACATACTCTCGTGGCTACGAATCTCTCAGAAGAAAGCTCCAATAAAAATGTGTTAACAACCACAAAAAATGGAGATTGTAGGGTAGAAGGAGATGAGCTGTGATGATATGGTGGCACAAGTGACGGAGATTGAGTGAAATCAACTGCTATGAAATGTCCTTTCTTTGTGTGTGTGTGTAGTTCACTCTTGCTGTCCTCGTTAATGCCTATATATTCTTCTTGTTTGGACATAACAACATGTAAGCTTATATGCCAGATGTCTTATTTGTGTCCCAAACAAAAGGCAATCAGTTTCATGTAATTATTTGATTCATTAAACAGGCTTGGACCAACGACAGTGATCCAGTTGGCAAATTGCCCATTTCTCACACCGTGCAGCTTGAGCACTTTCGGACAATGTTCTAGAATGGGGTGTCCGCCAGAGCCTAGGAAAGGTGACGATGTCTTTGCCATGGACTGCACGCACCAATGTTGTTTTTGCCCTGCCATGTCCAAAATACAAATTTAGTCCTTGGGTTGTCCTCTATGTTGGGAAAAGAAAAAAAGAAAAAGGAGGGGGAGAAAAAATAAAACAGAAAGAGATGAATCCCATGCATTTGTAACTTCTAAGCATCAAACTTGCAATGCTCATTTCACTTTCCATTTTCGTTTTCTTTTTCTTTTTCTTTTTTCTTTTTTTCAGTTGAATTAATTTCAAATTTTTTCATTTCATATGCGGTGGGCATGTCTTTGAGCGGCCGTGATAAATGAGCAATGATGTTGAAAGTGCTTACTTTTTTTCTTTTTCTTTTTTTAATCTTCACAGAAACTTGGTGGTAAGTACCTTGTTGGTTTCGAGTTTGCTTTGTATTTGAGAAATGTAGACGATGTGAGGCATATGTGAAGTGCTTAATGTAATTATGGCTTTTAAGCATTTTTTATGAAGAATTTTCTGAGAAAGTATTGATTTGTCTCTTTTTTCTTTTTGCATTTTTTGATTTGGCATTTATTTTGGTTTACCAGTTGTTTGGAATGTGCCCCTACTTGAATTAATTCGCTGGATAAGTAATACTGATCTCTGTTTTTGTTTTGTCAAGAAATCCCATCTTTTAGGATGTGTTTGGATCATGAATTTTGATAGGAATTTGAAAAGAGAGAGAGAACTAGAGAAGAAGAAAGAGAACAAAATTATAAGTTTTTTTTTTTAATTTATTTATTTAAATTCTTACCTAAATATATGATTTAAATAGAGCTTAGCTTGTTTGTGGGTTTTTATTTTATGATCATGTACTGATTTGTCTATTACTACTGTTCTTATTTTTCCGTAGGGATTAAATTCGGAAAATTCTATTTCTACACAACTCATTACCTCAGTGCACACATCTAATGAAATATTATTTTAATGATAATTATATTCTAAACTAAAATGACTATAATGGACATCCACTAGCACCTATAATATTATATGAAAATATTTTATGTACACATCTTTAAAAAAAAAAAAAATCTCAATGTACAAATTTTTGTGGACAACATGGTTCAGATTCTCCTCGAACTCCAAAGCCTAAACTGGGTATCCAAGAAAGAACTTCAAGTGCATCTGAAGACAGCACGAAGAACCTTGCTGAGGTTGTTATAATATTATTTTCATTTATTCAAATCAAATTGTGAGCATATTTTTAGAATTTTTTGAGAAAGAAGAGAAGGAAAAAAAAAACTAAACCCTAATTTTTCTATTGTTGTCACTTTGCTTGTTACATACTTTATATTTCTTTATTGCCTGCAAATCAATACTCTCATAACAACTCTCATATTGTTTTAATCTCTGTGGGTGTTGATTTTTGACCACACAACCAAATAGGGAATTCAGCTGGAGAGTACGGGAAGAATAGATTAAGCCCAACAACCTGCATAAGAAGACGAGAATCTGGCGGTGGTTCGTCCCTGTAGACACCCCATTTTTGACCACCCTTAAGACTTGGGCGTTACTGATGGTTTACTTGGTGGTAAAAAGGTGTGCAGGGCAAAGGTTCAAATTCGTCAGCAATGAGAGAGTCAAATCCTCAATGCACAAATTTTTGTGGACAACATGGTTTAGATTCTCCTCGAACTCCAAAGCCTAAACTGGGTATCCAAGAAAGAACTTCAAGTGCATCTGAAGACAGCACGAAGAACCTTACTGAGGTTGTTATAATATTATTTTCATTTATTCAATTCAGATTGTGAGCATATTTTTAGAATTTTTTGAGGAAAAAAAAAAAAAAACTAAACTAAACTCTAATTTTTTATTGTTGTCACACACTTTATATTCCTCTATTGCTTACAAATCAATACTCTCATAACAACTCTTATATTGTTTTAATCTCTAAATTTATATTCTATTAGTAATGAAAATGTTAGTTTTTTCGTGCATAACTCTTTTTTTTTTTTCCCCCTTTCTTTCTCGGTTTTCAGTTGGATAACCAATGCTGAATTATTTCATTATATTCAGGCATCAACTGCCGAAAGTTTTTTTTTATTTTTTTGGAAACAAATTTGTCAAACTAATCACTTTTATTCGGAAGTTAAGTTTTAAATTAAATGTATAATTTCAAAAAACTAGTGCCGAAATCTCCAAACCGAAAAACATAAAAAAAAAGAAAGAAAAAAAGGTATGGAAAGGAGGGTTGAGTAGTGTGTATACAATGATTATGAGCGAAGGATATAATTGTAACTTTTAGTGTGTGAATTGAGAAAATTAATTAATAATCAAATTAATAAGTGTATATACTGAGAGAAGATGTGCATTGAGGTAATTAAGTAAGTGGAAATAGAATTTCCCAACTGTGAACCCCATGATTTATGACATACAATAAAAACAATCCATGATGTTATTTTTAATGTAAAAAAAGGAGAAATTACCATTTAGTGGTAATTTTTAAAAAATCATCTTCAAAATCACTTCTTAAAAAGTTTTACTTTCTTATTTTTTTGTATTTATTAATTTTTGAAAATATTTTAAGTAATTTTTTTAATTTTTAGATACACGTAACATAAATACAAATAAAAAATATAATTTTTGTGATGCATTGAGGTAATTAAGTAAGTGGAAATAGAATTTCCCATTAAATTCTACGCAGATGAACTGTGAACCCCATGATTTATGACATACAATAAAAACAATCCATGATATTATTTTTAATGTAAAAAAAGGAGAAATTACCATTTAGTGGTAATTTTTAAAAAATCATCTTCAAAAGCACTTTTTAAAAAGTTTTACTTTCTTATTTTTTTGTATTTATTAATTTTTGAAAATATTTTAAGTAATTTTTTTAATTTTTAGATACACGTAACATAAATACAAATAAAAAATATAATTTTTGTGAAATTTTTTGTTAAAAAATTCACTAAATATCAAAAATAAAAATAAAAAAACTAGAATTCAGTATATTTTTCATATTTTTATGTATTTATTAATTTTTTTTTAAAACTTCGTAAATTTTTTTACTTTTTAAATACATCTAAGTAAACTTTATCTAAAAAAGTAAAAAAAAAATGCTTAAAATTTTAAAAATATTCACTAAAAACAAAAAAAAGACGAAAAATAAAAAACTTAATCCAAAAAACTCAAACCAAACACACACATTATAATTCAGAATAAAATTTATAATTTTAATTAATAATATTTATAATATTTAGTATTTATTTAAATTTTTTTTTTATTCACATTATTGTTATGTGATTTACCCTAAAAAATATACTAACTCTAATTACTTCCGGTTAAAATAATGATGTGGCAGTCTTTCATTGCAACCACATAATCCTCTTTTATTAAATGGAACCGAGCCGAATAAAAAATTCACTGTATAAGTTTGGTTTAAAATTCTAATAAGTTTCAAAATATGTTTAAGATTGACTTATTTATTTAATAATGTTAATGTATTATATGTTATTAGCTGTTAGTATTATTAGCTGTAAAGTGTCCAAGTTGTAATCATGATGTCTTTACTTTCGGTTTCTTTAACAACACTGAACATACTCTTCTCTCTATAAAGAAGAGTAAACTTCTCCTTATATATCACACTAAACATTCAATACATCAGTATATACATAATTTATTCTCTCTCCCTCTCTTTATCAAACTATTGTATCATGGTATCAGAGCGAGGTTAAGAACTTAGTAATTCCGCTTCACCTTCCGCTTCACCGGCGGGCGACAGCCTTGCCTTGGTCGCCCGCCGGACAAACCCAACGATACTAACTTCACTTTCTCTTCTTCGATCACAGTGTTTCAAAACCTTCACAACAACAATGGCGGATACCAATCGACGGCAACGTCCTGATGGCCAAGGCCCTCTCACGTGCCGACGTGTACCGCATGTTCGGCTTTTTCGGCATCCCCGTCACCTCCCTCGCCAACCGCGCCGTCGCTCTCGGCGTCTGATTCATCGCCTTCCACAACGAGCAGTCCGCCGGTTACGCCGCCTCCGCCTACGGCTTCCTCACTGGCCGTCCCGGCATCCTCCTCACCGTCTCTGGCCCCGGCTGCGTTCACGGCCTCTCCAACGCCGCCATCAACGGCTGACCTATGCGATGGCTCTCTTTGTTGCAGTTGTAATGGTGGGTTCGGTTGAGTCATCAAGGTATGATGAGTTGTTTCAGCCCAGCTGGGCAATGAACCATTTCACCTATGAAGGAGAGCTTCTCAAGATAAAACTAGATAACTATTCTGGTGCTGGGTTTTCATCCAAAAGCAAGTATTTGTTTGGGAAAGTCAACATTCAGATCAAGCTCGTGGAGGGTAACTCTTTAATAATCAACCCAACCCTCTTTGTCACCTTCAAAAATGCCTTCAAAAATGTATGCTATGGGGAGAAAGAGCCCAATGGCGGCTCCGGCGAAGGTGTAAAGGGCCAGAATCTTGTTATTCCGGCGAAAGACTGATGGTTGTGTGGTGGAGGAGGGAGGAGAGAGAGTTGGGAATGCCACCTTTGAGATTACGTACATGTAGATGAAGGAGAAGAAGACGAAGGCAAAGTCTTCTGGACTTACCATGCCGCTGGCGGAGAGGACGATGACGACAGCTAGGGCGTTGAGCTGCCGGAAAGTGAAGAAACCGCCGCCCACGGCGGTGGTAGTGGTGGTTGGAGGGTGGATTTTTGAGTAGGTGTCATGTTGGAGCTTTTTGTCTAGTTCTTGTTCTTCTTTTGGGAGACGAATGTCACTGCATGGACCAACCCCACCTGACATTATTTTTTTGTGTTTGGGAAGTGGGATTTGGGATGGGAAGAGAAAGTTTATGCGTGGAGAGAAAGTGGGTTAAAGTTCATTTTTTTTGTATTTTTGTTTGTGGGTTAAGAAAAAAGTGAGAGAGCCTTGAATTGGGTTTGAAGAAGATAAATGGTGGAGATTGAGCGGAAGGACAAAGAGAGGGTATGTAGGAAAGGTGCGTGAGAGAGAATTTTAAGGGCAGAAAAAAGAGAGGTGAAGTTGATTGGTGTTTCTCACAAATCATGTGGTCATGTTTTCATAGGGATTTTGTTGGCATTATCATAAAAAAGAAGGAAAAATTGTAAATAAGTGATATTTCTACAAAATACTTCTAAATTCATAGAAAAACTTATGACTTTAATTATCAAAATTGATAATTTTTTTACATATTTGCATTAATTTTTTTAATTTTTTATTTTTTTGGAAAATTTGCACTAAAGTGCAATTTCTTTAAAAAAGAAATGATATATTATGTATAAAAATGTGTAATAAAAAATTATATAATTTTTAATTTTTTTTTTAAACATGTGTCTTTAAAATAAATATTAACAGCAATATTCGAAAAAACATAAATTACAGTGATTTTTTTTTTAATTTTGAAAAAAATATATTAAGTCTTACAAATTTGGCTTAATCATTATTATATAAATGATAAAATGATATCATCTTTATGTATTCACATCATTTGATTGATCAAATTTACAAACATAATTTTTATACATAAAGTAAATTCAAAATGATGTAGTAATAATATACTTATAGTTTTTTTGGGGGGGTCAAAGATAACATTAATATATTAGTATAGTTAGACTATAATTGAAAGGTTCGCCACTATTCTATCAATTTAAACCCTGATATCCAACTTACCATACCTTAAAGGTGTGGTTACAAGTTACAACAGTAAATGATTTTATTAAAAATGAAAAGATCACAAACAGACATGTAACATTACCCAATCAGTATAATATATCCTTTAAATGAAGTAAAAATAAAAGTAAATTACAAATACAATATTTAAAATTTGTTTAAAATACGAATTGTTTCATGTGATTTTGAAAATTACATCTCACCTCTTAAAATTTTTAATTTCATAACAAATGACCCATTTTGTTAATTAATCATCAAGTCAATTAATAGTTTTTAATGATGCTAAAAATTTATTTCAATTAATAATTCATGTAATTTTATTATTGTATAGGAGAATAGTTAGGAATTTTATTTTTTTAATTAATTCGGTTAAATAAAAAAATTTAACAAGGAAATATTTGTAATTTTTTAAATCACAAGAATAATCCGTATTTTAAGCGTGTATTTGCAATTTACCGTAAAAATAATATAAACACTTAAACCCTTGTAATTTAATATACAAATTTACTTTTTAAATCAATTTTTCAAATCCAATGATATATAAGTAAGAGGATTATTATTATAATTATTTTGATTATGTAAAGTATTGTAGGTCAACTTTTGTGCATTAAACTAAGTTCCTTAGCCTAAGTAAGTCTTTCGAAATAGGTTTTCCAACGGTACATGGTCTCAAGAATTTTATGTTACTTGAAGAAATCGAGCCTGTAAGATAAATTGATAGAGAAAGAGAGATACAGAGAGAATGAATTATGTATATTGATTTATGTATTGAATGTGATACATTCAAAGAGGAATGAACTCTCTCTTTATAGAGAGAAGAATGGTTACATTGGATACCAAAGTGCTCCACTATCACCGAAAGCAAAAAGGAAAGCATAAACCTATACAATTAATAATTATACTAAAGCTAAAGATTCAATTAACAATTATATACTAATTTAACAATTATATTAACAGCCCCCCGCAAACTCAAGGAGGGAAAGCATCAACCAAGTTGAGTTTGGAAACAAGATCATTAAAGCGGCCAGAGGATGAGCCTTAGTGAAGATATCAGCGGGCTGATCGACTGAAGCAATAGGAAGAAGATGAACCGTTCAGTAGTTTGAGTGATACGTGGGGTTATAAGAGGAGGAAGTGGTAATGTTGGTGGTTTTAATTAACTTCAAAAATATTGTCTGAAAGCTAATCAACAACGTTGAATAGGGCCTTGGGACTCGGTTTACAAACCGCTGTTTTTCAGCGACAATACTTGGGTAATAACACGTGATCAGAAAAAAAAGACCACGTGACTTGTCATTATTCCATATTAATCTAAAGAGTGCTGCTATTAGCTCTCAAAATTTTTTGAACCTCCCATTTTATAATTTTTTTTATTACAATTATACCATAAAGTAAAATTATATTAAAAGACATTATGAAATGGAACACTCACCTATCAATAATAATTAGTACTCTATAATATTGGACACTCACCCACACCCCACCCCCACCTCCAACTCCACCTCCAACTCCAACTATACGTATTCCATGTTTGTAAACCCTAAACCTATTACTTTTTATAACCAATTAACATAAACCCTAAATCTATTATTTTTCATAATCATCTTGAATCCTAAATGTGTCATCTTCTTCACCATCATCAACGCTATTGAACTTGAAAGTTTTGCTTCAAGTATAACGTATACTTCATCACTTATTTCACTGTGTAGAGCAATGGAGGACGAGGACAACATTCTCGATCGTTTATCTGTCTTGTATTAACATTCTTGGTCGTTTTCGGTCGTTCTTGTTTTGTTCGAGCTGTTCGGTACTGGTTTACTGTCTGTTACAATTATGTTCGGTAATATAGTACTGAACATAATCCTTTCGTTCAATACATAAGTTCCGAACATTAATGCAGATAGTCAGTTATGTAATTTTCTTTGTTAAACTAACTTAGAATGGAAAAGAGTGAATTAGAATGGATTCAAGTTACACAGTGATGAACAAATTTTGTTCGGACATACAGTGTTGACAGGATCATTATTGTTCGACAAAACAGTTCTGAACAAAATACATTTTTTCGGCTACACAATAGTTTAGTTTTAAATTGAAAAATTAGAAATTCGTAGTTCACGGATTGGTTCCGGATTGAATCCCACGGTTTCGGATTGGAACCGATCCGGACCGTATACAAATAGTCTATATTTTTATTATACACCCTCCTGCATAGTATCTTCTCTTATTTCATATAAAACTTAAATCCAAACCTAAACTTGCATAGTATCTTCTTTTATTACTTTTGTTTGCTAGTTTTTAGTGTTAATTTATAATGGTCTAAATACTTATGGTGGAACTAGTTTCTTTATGGTTGTTTAAATTTTAGAACAGTTTGTCGCTACTATGAAAAGACATATTGCTATTGTGAAACTAATATGATGCTATATTTATATTTTTATGAAAATAAAGTGTTATATATATATTTTTGTTATTTAATTATATAAATCCGTGGTCCTAAACCGATCCAATCCGTATTTAAATGGATTGGTTCGGATTGGTTCCACGATTTAAATGGATTGGATTGTTCCAATTTTTCAGGATCCGTAAATAACGGATTGGTTCTGGTTTCACTCCAATCCGGTCCAATCCGGACCATGCTCACCCCTATCTTGAATGTGTTTATGTGGAGCAATTAGTGATGTATGGGGTTAATGAGTACAATAAAAGGAAAAATATTTATAAGTTTTATTAGGGAGACTTATGCTACATATGGTCTTACTAAAAAATTTATGTTCTTATAAGTCTTGCGGGAACTTTGTTGACATATTTACCCTCAATATTAGTTGTTAATATCATAAATAATAGTAAAACCATATATAGAAAATTGAATGTTATCATAGATCATATATATATATATATATATATAAACGTAACGTAACGTGACACCTGTATAAACGTAACGTGACACCTATGATCTATGATAACATGTAATTTCCTATATAAACGTAACGTAACGTGACACCTACATAAACGTAATGTGACGCCTATGATCTATGGCAACATTCAATTTCCTACATAAACATAGCGTAACGTGGTACTTACATAAACATAACGTAACACCTATGATCTATGGCAACATTAAATTTCTTATATAGAAAATTGAATATTGCCATAAATCATATTTATATAAAACGTAACGTGACACCAACATAAATTAGCAACATTTTCACATTGAATTTAAAAAAATAAAAACTCATTAAGTTTGCGAAACATAACGTGACACGTTACGTTACGTCTTCTTCTTTAAAAAAAGAATGCTGTTATTAGTACTTGTCAAAATTTTTTGGACCCCCATTTTATAATTTTTTTTTATTACAATTATACCCTAAAGTAAAATTACATTAAAAGACATTATAAAATGGAACACCCACTTATCAATAATAACTAATACTCTATAATATTGGACACTCACCCACACCCCCACCCCTGCCTCCAACTCCAACTATACGTATTCCATATTTGTAAACCCTAAACCTATTACTTTTCATAACCAATTAACATAAACCTTAAATCTATTATTTTTCATAATCATCTTAAATCCTGAATGTGTCATCTTCATCACCATTATCAACGCTATTGAACTTGAAAGTTTTGCTTCAAGTATAACGTATACTTCATCACTTATTTCACTGTGTAGAGCAATGGAGGACGAGGACAACATTCTCGATCGTTTATCTATCTTGTATTAACATTCTCGGTCGTTTTCGGTCGTTCTTGTTTTGTTCGAGCTGTTCGGTACTGGTTTACTGTCTGTTACAATTATGTTCGGTAATATAGTACTGAACATAATCCTTTCGTTCAAGACATAAGTTCCGAACATTAATGCAGATAGTCAGTTATGTAATTTTCTTTGTTAAACTAACTTAGAATGGAAAAGAGTGAATTAGAATGGATTTAAGCTATGTATTTTGAATGGATTTAATTCATGTTATTTTAAGTTGTGAATTAGAATGGATTCAAGTTACACAGTGATGAACAAATTTTGTTCAGACATATGGTGCTGACAGGATCATTATTGTTCGACAAAACAGTTTTGAACAAAATACATTTTTTCAGCTACACAGTGGTGAACA